CAGCGTTTCCCCTAAAATGAGTGGAGCTCACCAACACATATCATTTTGTTAATTTATTTAATCTCATATTTATATGTCTGTATAAACAAACTGATCGTCCCAGTTTTTACACTTTTTTTTTTTTTTAATGAAATTATGTTCAAATGTAACATTCAGCTCAACAAAGAAAAGATAAGAAACACTTTGAGGCATCATATTTGTAAGATATGCACGCAGATGTTTGTAGTTTCTGCTCATCTTCTCCTATTTACAACATGTCTTGTGTTTGAGAGAATTGATGGTGAAGTTCTTTTTATGTAAATTCTAAACTGTATTGATACTAAACGTAAACTATTTTTTTAATGCCCTCTTGTGATGGTTTGTGCGGACTGTCGTGCTTTAATATGTTTACAAATGTAAATTTGTATATTCATGTTCAAATGTACCCCAGGAAGAATAGCTGTGCTCTACAGGGCAGTGGTTCCCAAAGTGTGTGTGTGTGTGTGTGTGGGGGGGGGGGAGGTTCACGGACAACCAAGAGGGTGGGACACCTTCCAAAAAAAAAAAAAAAAAACGAATACAAATAATTTACAATTGTATATTTTACCCAGTATTGTAAAAGTTATTATAAAAACATTATTATTATTTTGTTTTGTATGTGCATCTAAGGATTGTGCATCTCTTGTACACATTATGAAAATAATAAAAAAAGATGTATAGAGAAAAGATGTATATTTGCACACAACAGCAACACTGTAGGTAACATAATTTTATGTTTTTTTAGGCGGTTGTATTCTTGTGTTGTTCTTGTGTTGCCAGTGTTGGAATAGGCTATTTCTGCATGTGCGTTGTATACCTTAACCACCTCCAGGTACACTGGGGGTCCCCAGTCTCTGGCACCCTTATTTTGGGGGTCATGAGCTAAAAAGGTTTGAACTCCCCTGCTCTAGGTACAGCCAATAGGGATCCTATAACAAATCAACAAATCAATTATTTCAGCTCTGTTATCTGCACATTCAATAACAATGAATTGTAACACTCTCTGTATCACAGGACACTGAACATGTACTCATCTGTACTCATCAGAACATTTGTACTGTCCTCGTGTCTGTGTGATTGTTTGAGTACATGAGGATAATGTATTATTCTCCACATCCCTGCCTTCACATCTGTTGTTAATGGAGCCCTCTAAGCTTCCCTGATGCTACTTTGTTAATCAAATGTTCTCAGAAAAGTCATCTCTCTAACCTCAGCTGGAGTTGAATAGAGCTTCAACAGAATATTAACGCTGATCTTTTAGTCATTCTGTTTCTGAGCACAGAGGGAGGAGAGGTTAAATGAGCGCCCGCAGCAGGTCTCGACCTGATATTTCCTCCAGGAAGAGAAAAAAAATGGCAACATGAATCAGCCTGAACTTCTGTTTGAATCTAGATGTGGAATAATGTTTTCATGGGCTGGCTAATGAAAAAAAGACATTAGAAGGATTTTATTTCATGCACATAAATTGTTACAACCGCAGCTATTAGCAGAAGTGACCTGAGCTCTTTGTCAATTAAGGTTATAATTCAAACTCTTTATTCATCATCATGAACGACTAACAAAAGTATTAAATCCTTATCTTTAAGAAGCTGGACTTTGCTTTATTTGACATTTATTTGCATGTGGCCTATGGTGTTTCTATAGGCCAGCATAGAACTCATTAGTGAGGACAGAGGACTTGGCATTCAAACGGACATGTCCGCCAAAGGAGATTATCCTCAGCAGAAAGAAAACCACCACTTGTTTCCGCCCGGTCTCGAACCGGGGACCTTTCGCGTGTGAGGCAAACGTGATAACCACTACACTACGGAAACTGACGAAAGGCTTCTTGAGGTCATTTGTCAAAGTTAACTCTCTGTACCTCGAAGGAGGAAAAATTAAGGAAACGGGCCAAGGAGAGAAATTCTACATGGTAGATAAAAGAAAATGAGAAATTGGCATTGTGACAGTGAATATGTTAGTCCCTCTCAGCTGTACTTATCATCAAACCCCACACCATGGTTGACACAGTGCTCCAAACATTGTGAGGTTGCCTGAGTATCGATTCCCAGACGGGGAGAAATATTCTTTCTACCAACAGTCCCATTACTTGCCACCTAAGGAAGGTGCTTCACGCTAGCCCTACTCTCTAGCTGAGGTGAGGTGAGGAAAAGTTAACTCTCTGTACCTCGAAGGAGGAAAAATTAAGGAAACGGGCCAAGGAGAGAAATTCATACATGGTAGATAAAAGAAAATGAGAAATTGTCATTGTGACAGTGAATTTTTTAGTCCCTCTCAGCTGTACTTATCATCAAACCCCACACCATGGTTGACACAGTGCTCCAAACATTGTGAGGTTGCCTGAGTATTGGACTGGGCACAGTCTGATTGTTATACTCCTAGCAAGCTCAGAGCGACAGACAATATTTCTGGACCTTGACACGAGCTTTGAAGGACATCCTGGCTATGACTACCGATTCTGTGTGCTGGTCATCTATAACAGTGTGACTAGCTACTCGAGACACCAGCATGGAGTTGGGGTGAAGCGATTACATTTACCACTTGATTGCTCCCTGGCACTTTGATGGACTTCCTGCATATAAGCCAGGTCCCCTAAAATGCCATTGGTAATTGCTATTGGGCTACAAAAGGTGACCTGAAGGCCTGTGAAAAGGGAGATGCGTGAGGACTTAGCATTCAAGCGGACATGTCCGCCAAAGGAGATTATCCTCAGCAGAAAGACAACCACCACTTGTTTCCGCCCGGTCTCAAACCGGGGACCTTTCGCGTGTTGGGCGAACGTGATAACCACTACACTACGGAAACTGACAAAAGGCTTTTCGTGGTCATTCGTCAGGTAGTCGACCCGACCCGAAGTTGGACAGGCTTTCCTCAGGTTCAGACCATCAGCCCGTTCACAACCCAAAAGTAACACCACATAAGTCCTCGTTAGTATAGTGGACAGTATCTCCGCCTGTCACGCGGAAGACCGGGTTTTGATTCCCCGACGGGGAAAATTATTCTTTCTACCAGCAGTCCCATTACTTGCCACCTAAGGAAGGTGCTTCACACTAGCCCTACTCTCTAGCTGAGGTGAGGTGAGGAAAAGTTAACTCTCTGTACCTCGAAGGAGGAAAAATTAAGGAAACGGGCCAAGGAGAGAAATTCCTACATGGTAGATAAAAGAAAATGAGAAATTGGCATTGTGACAGTGAATATGTTAGTCCCTCTCAGCTGTACTTATCATCAAACCCCACACCATGGTTGACACAGTGCTCCAAACATTGTGAGGTTGCCTGAGTATCGATTCCCAGGCGGGGAGAAATATTCTTTCTACCAACAGTCCCATTACTTGCCACCTAAGGAAGGTGCTTCACGCTAGCCCTACTCTCTAGCTGAGGTGAGGTGAGGAAAAGTTAACTCTCTGTACCTCGAAGGAGGAAAAATTAAGGAAACGGGCCAAGGAGAGAAATTCATACATGGTAGATAAAAGAAAATGAGAAATTGGCATTGTGACAGTGAATATGTTAGTCCCTCTCAGCTGTACTTATCATCAAACCCCACACTAAGGTTGACACAGTGCTCCAAACATTGTGAGGTTGCCTGAGAATTGGACTGGGCACAGTCTGATTGTTATACTCCTAGCAAGCTCAGAGCGACAGAAATATTTCTGGACCTTGACACGAGCTTTGAAGGACATCCTGGCTATGACTACGATTCTGTGTGCTGGTCATCTATAACAGTGTGACTAGCTACTCGAGACACCAGCATGGAGTTGGGGTGAAGCGATTACATTTACCACTTGATTGCTCCCTGGCACTTTGATGGACTTCCTGCATATAAGCCAGGTCCCCTAAAATGCCATTGGTAATTGCTATTGGGCTACAAAAGGTGACCTGAAGGCCTGTGAAAAGGGAGATGCGGTCCCTGCGTGAGGACTTAGCATTCAAGCGGACATGTCCGCCAAAGGAGATTATCCTCAGCAGAAAGACAACCACCACTTGTTTCCGCCCGGTCTCGAACCGGAGACCTTTCGCGTGTGAGGCGAACGTGATAACCACTACACTACGGAAACTGACGAAAGGCTTCTTGAGGTCATTCGTCACGCGGAAGACCGGGGTTCGATTCCCAGACGGGGAGAAATATTCTTTCTACCAGCAGTCCCATTACTTGCCACCTAAGGAAGGTGCTTCACGCTATCCCTACTCTCTAGCTGAGGTGAGGTGAGGAAAAGTTAACTCTCTGTACCTCGAAGGAAGAAAAATTAAGGAAACGGGCCAAGGAGAGAAATTCATACATGGTAGATAAAAGAAAATGAGAAATTGGCATTGTGACAGTGAATTTTTTAGTCCCTCTCAACTGTACTTATCATCAAACCCCACACCATGGTTGACACAGTGCTCCAAACATTGTGAGGTTGCCTGAGTATTGGACTGGGCACAGTCTGATTGTTATACTCCTAGCAAGCTCAGAGCGACAGACAATATTTCTGGACCTCGACACGAGCTTTGAAGGACATCCTAGCGATGACTACCGTTTCTGTGTGCTGGTCATCTATAACAGTGTGACTAGCTACTCGAGACACCAGCATGGAGTTGGGGTGAAGCGATTACATTTACCACTTGATTGCTCCCTGGCACTTTCATGGACTTCCTGCATATAAGCCAGGTCCCCTAAAATGCCATTGGTAATTGCTATTGGGCTACAAAAGGTGACCTGAAGGCCTGTGAAAAGGGAGATGCGTGAGGACTTAGCATTCAAGCGGACATGTCCGCCAAAGGAGATTATCCTCAGCAGAAAGAAAACAACCACTTGTTTCCGCCCGGTCTCGAACCGGGGACCTTTCGCGTGTTAGGCGAACGTGATAACCACTACACTACGGAAACTGACAAAAGGCTTTTCGTGGTCATTCGTCAGGTAGTCGACCCGACCCGAAGTTGGACAGGCTTTCCTCAGGTTCAGACCATCAGCCCGTTCACAACCCAAAAGTAACACCACAGAAGTCCTCGTTAGTATAGTGGACAGTATCTCCGCCTGTCACGCGGAAGACCGGGTTTCGATTCCCCGACGGGGAAAATTATTCTTTCTACCAGCAGTCCCATTACTTGCCACCTAAGGAAGGTGCTTCACACTAGCCCTACTCTCTAGCTGAGGTGAGGTGAGGAAAAGTTAACTCTCTGTACCTCGAAGGAGGAAAAATTAAGGAAACGGGCCAAGGAGAGAAATTCCTACATGGTAGATAAAAGAAAATGAGAAATTGGCATTGTGACAGTGAATATGTTAGTCCCTCTCAGCTGTACTTATCATCAAACCCCACACCATGGTTGACACAGTGCTCCAAACATTGTGAGGTTGCCTGAGTATCGATTCCCAGACGGGGAGAAATATTCTTTCTACCAACAGTCCCATTACTTGCCACCTAAGGAAGGTGCTTCACGCTAGCCCTACTCTCTAGCTGAGGTGAGGTGAGGAAAAGTTAACTCTCTGTACCTCGAAGGAGGAAAAATTAAGGAAACGGGCCAAGGAGAGAAATTCATACATGGTAGATAAAAGAAAATGAGAAATTGGCATTGTGACAGTGAATATGTTAGTCCCTCTCAGCTGTACTTATCATCAAACCCCACACTATGGTTGACACAGTGCTCCAAACATTGTGAGGTTGCCTGAGAATTGGACTGGGCACAGTCTGATTGTTATACTCCTAGCAAGCTCAGAGCGACAGAAAATATTTCTGGACCTTGACACGAGCTTTGAAGGACATCCTGGCTATGACTACCGATTCTGTGTGCTGGTCATCTATAACAGTGTGACTAGCTACTCGAGACACCAGCATGGAGTTGGGGTGAAGCGATTACATTTACCACTTGATTGCTCCCTGGCACTTTCATGGACTTCCTGCATATAAGCCAGGTCCCCTAAAATGCCATTGGTAATTGCTATTGGGCTACAAAAGGTGACCTGAAGGCCTGTGAAAAGGGAGATGCGGTCCCTGCGTGAGGACTTAGCATTCAAGCGGACATGTCCGCCAAAGGAGATTATCCTCAGCAGAAAGACAACCACCACTTGTTTCCGCCCGGTCTCGAACCGGGGACCTTTCGCGTGTGAGGCGAACGTGATAACCACTACACTACGGAAACTGACGAAAGGCTTCTTGAGGTCATTCGTCACGCGGAAGACCGGGGTTCGATTCCCAGACGGGGAGAAATATTCTTTCTACCAGCAGTCCCATTACTTGCCACCTAAGGAAGGTGCTTCACGCTAGCCCTACTCTCTAGCTGAGGTGAGGAAAAGTTAACTCTCTGTACCTCGAAGGAAGAAAAATTAAGGAAACGGGCCAAGGAGAGAAATTCATACATGGTAGATAAAAGAAAATGAGAAATTGGCATTGTGACAGTGAATTTTTTAGTCCCTCTCAACTGTACTTATCATCAAACCCCACACCATGGTTGACACAGTGCTCCAAACATTGTGAGGTTGCCTGAGTATTGGACTGGGCACAGTCTGATTGTTATACTCCTAGCAAGCTCAGAGCGACAGACAATATTTCTGGACCTCGACACGAGCTTTGAAGGACATCCTAGCGATGACTACCGTTTCTGTGTGCTGGTCATCTATAACAGTGTGACTAGCTACTCGAGACACCAGCATGGAGTTAGGGTGGAGCGATTACATTTACCACTTGATTGCTCCCTGCCGCAATAAGCAGATATGGTTGACACAGTGCTCCAAACATTGTGAGGTTGCCTGAGTATCGATTCCCAGACGGGGAGAAATATTCTTTCTACCCACAGTCCCATTACTTGCCACCTAAGGAAGGTGCTTCACGCTAGCCCTACTCTCTAGCTGAGGTGAGGTGAGGAAAAGTTAACTCTCTGTACCTCGAAGGAGGAAAAATTAAGGAAACGGGCCAAGGAGAGAAATTCATACATGGTAGATAAAAGAAAATGAGAAATTGGCATTGTGACAGTGAATTTTTTAGTCCCTCTCAGCTGTACTTATCATCAAACCCCACACCATGGTTGACACAGTGCTCCAAACATTGTGAGGTTGCCTGAGTATCGATTCCCCGACGGGGAGAAATATTCTTTCTACCAGCAGTCCCATTACTTGCCACCTAAGGAAGGTGCTTCACGCTAGCCCTACTCTCTAGCTGAGGTGAGGTGAGGAAAAGTTAACTCTCTGTACCTCGAAGGAGGAAAAATTAAGGAAACGGGCCAAGGAGAGAAATTCATACATGGTAGATAAAAGAAAATGAGAAATTGGCATTGTGACAGTGAATTTTTTAGTCCCTCTCAGCTGTACTTATCATCAAACCCCACACCATGGTTGACACAGTGCTCCAAACATTGTGAGGTTGCCTGAGTATTGGACTGGGCACAGTCTGATTGTTATACTCCTAGCAAGCTCAGAGCGACAGACAATATTTCTGGACCTTGACACGAGCTTTGAAGGACATCCTGGCTATGACTACCGATTCTGTGTGCTGGTCATCTATAACAGTGTGACTAGCTACTCGAGACACCAGCATGGAGTTGGGGTGAAGCGATTACATTTACCACTTGATTGCTCCCTGGCACTTTCATGGACTTCCTGCATATAAGCCAGGTCCCCTAAAATGCCATTGGTAATTGCTATTGGGCTACAAAAGGTGACCTGAAGGCCTGTGAAAAGGGAGATGCGTGAGGACTTAGCATTCAAGCGGACATGTCCGCCAAAGGAGATTATCCTCAGCAGAAAGAGAACAACCACTTGTTTCCGCCCGGTCTCGAACCGGGGACCTTTCGCGTGTTAGGCGAACGTGATAACCACTACACTACGGAAACTGACAAAAGGCTTTTCGTGGTCATTCGTCAGGTAGTCGACCCGACCCGAAGTTGGACAGGCTTTCCTGAGGTTAAGACCATCAGCCCGTTCACAACCCAAAAGTGACCCCACAGAATTCCTCGTTAGTATAGTGGACAGTATCTCCGCCTGTCACGCGGAAGACCGGGGTTCGATTCCCCGACGGGGAGAAATATTCTTTCTACCAGCAGTCCCATTACTTGCCACCTAAGGAAGGTGCTTCACGCTAGCCCTACTCTCTAGCTGAGGTGAGGTGAGGTGAGGAAAAGTTAACTCTCTGTACCTCGAAGGAGGAAAAATTAAGGAAATGGGCCAAGGAGAGAAATTCATACATGGTAGATAAAAGAAAATGAGAAATTGGCATTGTGACAGTGAATTTTTTAGTCCCTCTCAGCTGTACTTATCATCAAACCCCACACCATGGTTGACACAGTGCTCCAAACATTGTGAGGTTGCCTGAGTATCGATTCCCAGACGGGGAGAAATATTCTTTCTACCAACAGTCCCATTACTTGCCACCTAAGGAAGGTGCTTCACGCTAGCCCTACTCTCTAGCTGAGGTGAGGAAAAGTTAACTCTCTGTACCTCGAAGGAGGAAAAATTAAGGAAATGGGCCAAGGAGAGAAATTCATACATGGTAGATAAAAGAAAATGAGAAATTGGCATTGTGACAGTGAATATGTTAGTCCCTCTCAGCTGTACTTATCATCAAACCCCACACCATGGTTGACACAGTGCTCCAAACATGTGAGGTTGCCTGAGTATCGATTCCCAGACGGGGAGAAATATTCTTTCTACCAACAGTCCCATTACTTGCCACCTAAGGAAGGTGCTTCACGCTAGCCCTACTCTCTAGCTGAGGTGAGGTGAGGAAAAGTTAACTCTCTGTACCTTGAAGGAGGAAAAATTAAGGAAACGGGCCAAGGAGAGAAATTCATACATGGTAGATAAAAGAAAATGAGAAATTGTCATTGTGACAGTGAATTTTTTAGTCCCTCTCAGCTGTACTTATCATCAAACCCCACACCATGGTTGACACAGTGCTCCAAACATTGTGAGGTTGCCTGAGTATCGATTCCCAGACGGGGAGAAATATTCTTTCTACCAACAGTCCCATTACTTGCCACCTAAGGAAGGTGCTTCACGCTAGCCCTACTCTCTAGCTGAGGTGAGGTGAGGAAAAGTTAACTCTCTGTACCTCGAAGGAGGAAAAATTAAGGAAATGGGCCAAGGAGAGAAATTCATACATGGTAGATAAAAGAAAATGAGAAATTGGCATTGTGACAGTGAATTTTTTAGTCCCTCTCAGCTGTACTTATCATCAAACCCCACACCATGGTTGACACAGTGCTCCAAACATTGTGAGGTTGCCTGAGTATCGATTCCCAGACGGGGAGAAATATTCTTTCTACCAACAGTCCCATTACTTGCCACCTAAGGAAGGTGCTTCACGCTAGCCCTACTCTCTAGCTGAGGTGAGGAAAAGTTAACTCTCTGTACCTCGAAGGAGGAAAAATTAAGGAAATGGGCCAAGGAGAGAAATTCATACATGGTAGATAAAAGAAAATGAGAAATTGGCATTGTGACAGTGAATATGTTAGTCCCTCTCAGCTGTACTTATCATCAAACCCCACACCATGGTTGACACAGTGCTCCAAACATTGTGAGGTTGCCTGAGTATCGATTCCCAGACGGGGAGAAATATTCTTTCTACCAACAGTCCCATTACTTGCCACCTAAGGAAGGTGCTTCACGCTAGCCCTACTCTCTAGCTGAGGTGAGGTGAGGAAAAGTTAACTCTCTGTACCTTGAAGGAGGAAAAATTAAGGAAACGGGCCAAGGAGAGAAATTCATACATGGTAGATAAAAGAAAATGAGAAATTGTCATTGTGACAGTGAATTTTTTAGTCCCTCTCAGCTGTACTTATCATCAAACCCCACACCATGGTTGACACAGTGCTCCAAACATTGTGAGGTTGCCTGAGTATCGATTCCCAGACGGGAGAAATATTCTTTCTACCAACAGTCCATTACTTGCCACCTAAGGAAGGTGCTTCACGCTAGCCCTACTCTCTAGCTGAGGTGAGGTGAGGAAAAGTTAACTCTCTGTACCTCGAAGGAGGAAAAATTAAGGAAATGGGCCAAGGAGAGAAATTCATACATGGTAGATAAAAGAAAATGAGAAATTGGCATTGTGACAGTGAATTTTTTAGTCCCTCTCAGCTGTACTTATCATCAAACCCCACACCATGGTTGACACAGTGCTCCAAACATTGTGAGGTTGCCTGAGTATTGGACTGGGCACAGTCTGATTGTTATACTCCTAGCAAGCTCAGAGCGACAGACAATATTTCTGGACCTCGACACGAGCTTTGAAGGACATCCTGGCTATGACTACCGATTCTGTGTGCTGGTCATCTATAACAGTGTGACTAGCTACTCGAGACACCAGCATGGAGTTGGGGTGAAGCGATTACATTTACCACTTGATTGCTCCCTGCCGCAATAAACAGATATGTTCTGAGAGATTAACACAAAGCTATGTAGTCGTCAGATGAGAGCATAGGTTCCTGGTTTGCCTCCGGGAGATGCCCAGCGCCTCTTTTGCTCTCAACTTTGATGGACTTCCTGCATATAAGCCAGGTCCCCTAAAATGCCATTGGTAATTGCTATTGGGCTACAAAAGGTGACCTGAAGGCCTGTGAAAAGGGAGATGCGTTCCCTGCGTGAGGACTTAGCATTCAAGCGGACATGTCCGCCAAAGGAGATTATCCTCAGCAGAAAGAGAACCACCACTTGTTTCCGCCCAGTCTCAAACCAGGGAGCTTTCGCGTGTGAGGCAAACGTGATAACCACTACACTACGGAAACTGACGGAAGGCTTCTTGAGGTCATTCGTCACGCGGAAGACCGGGGTTCGATTCCCCGACGGGGAGAAATATTCTTTCTACCAGCAGTCCCATTACTTGCCACCTAAGGAAGGTGCTTCACACTAGCCCTACTCTCTAGCTGAGGTGAGGTGAGGAAAAGTTAACTCTCTGTACCTCGAAGGAGGAAAAATTAAGGAAATGGGCCAAGGAGAGAAATTCATACACGGTAGATAAAAGAAAATGAGAAATTGTCAGTGTGACAGTGAATTTTTTAGTCCCTCTCAGCTGTACTTATCATCAAACCCCACACCATGGTTGACACAGTGCTCCAAACATTGTGAGGTTGCCTGAGTATCGATTCCCAGACGGGGAGAAATATTCTTTCTACCAACAGTCCCATTACTTGCCACCTAAGGAAGGTGCTTCACGCTAGCCCTACTCTCTAGCTGAGGTGAGGTGAGGAAAAGTTAACTCTCTGTACCTCGAAGGAGGAAAAATTAAGGAAATGGGCCAAGGAGAGAAATTCATACATGGTAGATAAAATAAAATGAGAAATTGGCATTGTGACAGTGAATATTTTAGTCCCTCTCAGCTGTACTTTTCATCAAACCCCACACCATGGTTGACACAGTGCTCCAAACATTGTGAGGTTGCCTGAGTATCGATTCCCAGACGGGGAGAAATATTCTTTCTACCAGCAGTCCCATTACTTGCCACCTAAGGAAGGTGCTTCACGCTAGCCCTACTCTCTAGCTGAGGTGAGGAAAAGTTAACTCTCTGTACCTCGAAGGAGGAAAAATTAAGGAAACGGGCCAAGGAGAGAAATTCATACATGGTAGATAAAAGAAAATGAGAAATTGTCATTGTGACAGTGAATTTTTTAGTCCCTCTCAGCTGTACTTATCATCAAACCCCACACCATGGTTGACACAGTGCTCCAAACACTGTGAGGTTGCCTGAGTATCGATTCCCAGACGGGGAGAAATATTCTTTCTACCAGCAGTCCCATTACTTGCCACCTAAGGAAGGTGCTTCACGCTAGCCCTACTCTCTAGCTGAGGTGAGGTGAGGAAAAGTTAACTCTCTGTACCTCGAAGGAGGAAAAATTAAGGAAACGGGCCAAGGAGAGAAATTCATACATGGTAGATAAAAGAAAATGAGAAATTGTCATTGTGACAGTGAATTTTTTAGTCCCTCTCAGCTGTACTTATCATCAAACCCCACACCATGGTTGACACAGTGCTCCAAACATTGTGAGGTTGCCTGAGTATTGGACTGGGCACAGTCTGATTGTTATACTCCTAGCAAGCTCAGAGCGACAGACAATATTTCTGGACCTTGACACGAGCTTTGAAGGACATCCTGGCTATGACTACCGATTCTGTGTGCTGGTCATCTATAACAGTGTGACTAGCTACTCGAGACACCAGCATGGAGTTGGGGTGAAGCGATTACATTTACCACTTGATTGCTCCCTGGCACTTTCATGGACTTCCTGCATATAAGCCAGGTCCCCTAAAATGCCATTGGTAATTGCTATTGGGCTACAAAAGGTGACCTGAAGGCCTGTGAAAAGGGAGATGCGGTCCCTGCGTGAGGACTTAGCATTCAAGCGGACATGTCCGCCAAAGGAGATTATCCTCAGCAGAAAGACAACCACCACTTGTTTCCGCCCGGTCTCGAACCGGGGACCTTTCGCGTGTGAGGCGAACGTGATAACCACTACACTACAGAAACTGACGAAAGGCTTCTTGAGGTCATTCGTCACGCGGAAGACCGGGGTTCGATTCCCAGACGGGGAGAAATATTCTTTCTACCAGCAGTCCCATTACTTGCCACCTAAGGAAGGTGCTTCACGCTAGCCCTACTCTCTAGCTGAGGTGAGGAAAAGTTAACTCTCTGTACCTCGAAGGAAGAAAAATTAAGGAAACGGGCCAAGGAGAGAAATTCATACATGGTAGATAAAAGAAAATGAGAAATTGGCATTGTGACAGTGAATTTTAGTCCCTCTCAGCTGTACTTATCATCAAACCCCACACCATGGTTGACACAGTGCTCCAAACATTGTGAGGTTGCCTGAGTATCGATTCCCAGACGGGGAGAAATATTCTTTCTACCACAGTCCCATTACTTGCCACCTAAGGAAGGTGCTTCACGCTAGCCCTACTCTCTAGCTGAGGTGAGGTGAGGAAAAGTTAACTCTCTGTACTCGAAGGAGGAAAAATTAAGGAAACGGGCCAAGGAGAGAAATTCATACATGGTAGATAAAAGAAAATGAGAAATTGGCATTGTGACAGTGAATTTTTTAGTCCCTCTCAGCTGTACTTATCATCAAACCCCACACCATGTTGACACAGTGCTCCAAACATTGTGAGTTGCCTGAGTATTGGACTGGGCACAGTCTGATTGTTATACTCCTAGCAAGCTCAGAGCGACAACAATATTTCTGGACCTCGACACGAGCTTTGAAGGACATCCTGGCTATGACTACCGATTCTGTTGCTGGTCATCTATAACAGTGTGACTAGCTACTCGAGACACCAGCATGGAGTTGGGGTGAGCGATTACATTTACCATGATTGCTCCTGCGCAATAAGCAGATATGTTCTGAGAGATTAACACAAAGCTATGTAGTCGTCAGATGAGAGCATAGGTTCCAGGTTTGCCTCCGGGAGATGCCCAGCGCCTCTTTTGCTCTCAACTTTGATGGACTTCCTGCATATAAGCCAGGTCCCCTAAAATGCCATTGGTAATTGCTATTGGGCTACAAAAGGTGCCTGAAGGCTGTGAAAAGGGAGATGCGTGAGGACTTAGCATTCAAGCGGACATGTCCGCCAAAGGAGATTATCCTCAGCAGAAAGACAACCACCACTTGTTTCCGCCCGGTCTCGAACCGGGACCTTTCGCGGTGTGAGCGAACGTGATAACCACTACACTACGGAAACTGACAAAAGGCTTTTCGTGGTCATCGTCAGGTAGTCGACCGACCGAAGTTGGACAGGTTCCTCAGGTTCAGACCATCAGCCCGTTCACAACCAAAAGTAACACCACAGAAGTCGTAGTATAGTGGACAGTATCTCGCCTGTCACGCGGAAGACCGGGGTTCGATTCCCGACGGGGAGAAATATTCTTTCTACCAGCAGTCCCATTACTTGCCACCTAAGGAAGGTGCTTCACGCTAGCCCTACTCTCTAGCTGAGGTGAGGAAAAGTTAACTCTCTGTACCTCGAAGGAGGAAAAATTAAGGAAATGGGCCAAGGAGAGAAATTCATACATGGTAGATAAAAGAAAATAGAAATTGGCATTGTGACAGTGAATTTTTAGTCCCTCTCAGCTGTACTTATCATCAAACCCCACACCATGGTTGACACAGTGCTCCAAACATTGTGGTTGCCTGAGTATTGGACTGGGCACAGTCTGATTGTTATACTCCTAGCAAGCTCAGAGCGACAGACAATATTTCTGGACCTGAACAGCGTTGAAGGACATCCTGGCTATGACTACCGTTTCTGTGTGCTGGTCATCTATAACAGTGTGACTACTACTCGAGACACAGCTTGGAGTTGGAGTTGGGGTGAAGCGATTACATTTACCACTTGATTGCTCCCTGGCACTTTTTGATGGACTTCCTGCATATAAGCCAGGTCCCCTAAATGCCATTGGTAATTGCTATTGGGCTACAAAAGGTGACCTGAAGGCCTGTGAAAAGGGAGATGCGGTGAGGACTTAGCATTCAAGCGGACATGTCCGCCAAAGGAGATTATCCTCAGCAGAAAGAGAACCACCACTTGTTTCCGCCCGGTCTCGAACCGGGGACCTTTCGCGTGTGAGGCGAACGTGATAACCACTACACTACGGAAACTGACAAAAGGCTTTTCGTGGTCATTCGTCAGGTAGTCCGACCCGACCGAAGTTGGACAGCTTTCCTCAGGTTCAGACCAATCAGCCCGTTACAACCCAAAAGTAACAC